CTCTCTCTGTCTCTTGATAAATGGGTGAATTGTTTTGTACTAATGGATGAAGCTACAGATTTGTAACTTTATTTTTATTTTTTTGTTTTTGTTTTGTTTTTTTTTTCTTTTTTCATGTTTATTCATCCCATTATATCAGAAGCGTAAATTATTAAGGTGATACACAACAGAATAGCAGAAATCTACGTTGATTTTTGGAACTTGAAGGTACAGGAGGTTGGGAGGTAGCGTGTAAAGAAGAACTTTGATAGGATAGGAAGTAAGGGATTTGGAAGGAAAAAAGTGTTCTTTTTTGTTTTCGTTTTAGGGAGTTCTGGAGTCACATGAAGGTAGGGTAACTGTTGTGTAGACACCACAAATATAAATCGGTGTACTCTCTGTTGAGCTTTTGGTTTGCCATATCCTTTTTTTTATATTTTTAAACTTTGGTTTTTTCTTTCTTGTTTAAATTATGGAAATGTTTATTTATTTCTTCTTTTTCTTCGTTGTTCAGCTTTTTTTTCCACCAAAGTCTAGAAATTCTCCAAGATTTTGTACAATGGCTTCTTTACAGTCAGTCTACAGATGATATTTTAATCTAGTTGTAAAAGAAGAAACACTAGTAAAAATATTTGTTTTCTTTTCAGTCACCCACTTAATTTCTTGAATTATTTCTTTCTATCTTCCCTTTCTTTCCTTTTTTTTCTGTTATGTCTCACTACTTTTTCTGTTTAGAAAAGGGAGGAGATGATTAAAGAAAAACTGAGGTAAAGCTTTAATATCTATTTTATTTCCGCTTCAGCATTATTACATATTTTTTTCATATTCTCTTCTCTGTTCTTTTTTTTGCTTTTTTCTTTGTACTGTTTTGTAATAATCCTTTAATTGTTAGCAGAGAGATTAAATATTTATTTATCATTGACAATTTGCAATGGGAGTACAAAAAAAGGAGGCGAAGGAAGAAAGGAAAAGTAACTGCTGGAAGGTAAAACAGAACCGTTTAGGAGAATTGGGGGAAGGTGGGTTCTCGTTTGTTTTATGCATGAATTTTGTTGAAAAACATATTTCTTTTTTCTGTTCAAATTTTTGTAACAACAAGAAAAAAGGTTTAGTTTATTAATTTTTCCATTTTAATTTTTTTCTTTATTGTCTCTGTCAAAATCTGTTAATTTTTAATCTCAAAATTGATTTTTTCTTATTTTTGTATGCTTAGACTAATTGCCAGTTTTTGTGAATCGTTTCTTTATTTTTTCCCCCAGTTAACATTTATGGCAAATCTTTTTTTTTTCCCGTTATTTGTATAGTGTTTTTTAAATTAAATTTTCTTTACCAACTTTTTTTTTTGATTTAATAAATTCGATTTGTTCAAACTGATCTGTACAGTTTGAAAAACAGACAAAAATAACTGCCGTAATCAGAATGATATGAAGCCGGGCAAAAACAGATTACTGTACGCTTTGATGAAGTGATGATTAAGAAAAAAAAACTGTTCAGAATCTGCGATAACTTTATTATTGTATGGAACGGATCTGTGATAGTCACTCAGGATTTTGAGTAATTAAATTTGACTGTACTGCTGATAAACAGTAATTTTTCGATAGCCAAGTTTAGCAGTTGTACACCCAGAAACTTGGTCCAGACATTAGTCTTATTTTAGTTTAGGATTGCAATTTGCAAATATTTTCAATGATATTTGCAAAACAGTTTGGTTATCAAAGAAATATGGCTGTTGTAATGGTGTGCTAACTTTAGCAGCAAATGTTAACCGGTTTGTGGCACTAAAATAGTAGTTTTTTGACGTAGTCAGGCAGTTATACCCAAAGCACTTAGGACATGACAGAATTTTTAGAATAAACCTGCCATATACCCTATGCTTGAAAGAAGTATTTGTGAGAAGGGAAAAAACAAACAAAAAAGTTTTGTTGATTTATAAGTGCTGAGAAAAAAGGACAGAGCAGTCGAGAAAAAAATTGAAGGAAAAGTTCACTTTTATAAATTTTCATCATTTGTTTAATAAATTGATTGTGCACCGTTGTGGAACTTTGTTTTTTTACTTGACATTTTTTTCGCCGTATTCTGTAGTTTCACTGGCTAAAGTGTTTATTTATTTGTTTAATATTTGAAATACGTTGTTGCTGATTATTGGATTGCAATTTAAAAGTCTTTTTGAAGCGCAGCTGTACTGCTGTTTTTTATTGATGGTGGTAGTGATGATGTCGGCGGCAGTGGTTCTGGTATTTTTGTTAACCATTTCAGACGGGGAAATGATGATGATTTTTTTGCACTATTAAAATGGCCTATAATAAGGCTTTAAGTACAGATCAGGTAGATAGGTGTACAACAGAATGTTAAGCTTTTGATGCAACAACATTGGGAAGAAATAAAAGATTTGAAAAAAGAATATGCTGACTCAAACTATTTTCAACAACGTTATTTAAGACTTTCGACCTTTGCCAGTCGATCGACGGTATTTTATATATATTTTGGGAGAAAATTTTTTCATTGTTGAACTAACTCTTTTGAAGTTTTTCATCTTTTGATGATTTAATAATCAATCTAAGCATCCGTAAATCTCGCTCAATTTTTACTGTTGATTGTCGTCGTCAAAGTGTTCGCTGTTTTACGGTTTGCTGATGCTGTGTCATTGTCGTTGTC